GGTGCCGCGACCTCGCTATCGCCGTTGCGTCCACCATCGTCGCACATCGCGGAGGAATATCGCGAGGCGGAGAAGACGCAGAGAAGGGGCAGAGAAGAGAGAAGAGAAGAGGTGCTTCGGGGGGGAGAAGGGGCAGAGAAGAGAGAAGAGAAGAGGTGCTTCGGGGGGGAGAAGGGGCAGAGAAGAGAGAAGAGAAGAGGTGCTTCGGGGGGGAGAAGGGGCAGAGAAGAGAGAAGAGAAGAGGTGCTTCGGGGGGGAGAAGACGCAGCGAAGAGAGAAGCGCAGAGAAGAGAGAAGTGCTTTGGGGGAAATGGGCTGGTGATTTAAAAGCACAATATGCCTCGGGTGTATGCCAACCGAGGCCCATCTAGAGTCTAATATGCCTCGGGTCCATGCCAACCGAGGTCGTATCTGTGCTATGTGAGGATTATGCCTCGGTTCACTCTAATAACCGAATTAGTATTACTTTTAGGCACCGGTTGCTTAACAACCGAGGCATATAATGCTTTTAAAATTACGAGACTGCCACCGCTTTTTGATATGCTTCGGTTCAGTAAGAACCGAGTCATAATGTGCGAGTTAAAAACGTCATTTTTTACTAGTGTGCGTAACATCTAAAAAAATAAAGCATAAAATCATATTTAAAATATTTACATGTAACAATATTACAATTCAATTCTGAAAAGAAGAAATATAGTTATGACCGAATCACCTTACGAAAATATTTGAGAATTTAAACTTTACAAAACGATGATCTAGACCGAACGGTTTCAAGATTAAGCTTACACCGATCGGTTATACAAAATAAGACTAATCCTAACGACCGAACGGTCCTATGGTTCCGCTTTCACTTCCACTTCTTTCAAAGCCTCTTCCAGCAACCTTCTCCTTCTGCTCACATCCACAAGATGATCATTGCAACAGGAAATAACGACCGAACAGACAATACAAACAAGACAGAAAATATAGGGTAATCTTATGTAATTTAATTAATTCAGTAAAACCTATACTTCACATAAATCTAACATAATTCAATATACAATCATGTAACATCTAATCATGCACTTCCAATCAAAATTATACGTCAAGCATGCAATGACCGACCATTTTACTCTGACTGTCTGGACTTTATGAATTTTTTGTAGCTACGACGTTTTTGCACCCGAGTGATGTAATAGTTGGGATGCCCTCAACAGCTACCACCCGAGATTAGTTTGTTCCTTCCAAGTTCACCTTATGGACTAGGACCTCCTGTCATTCTCACACATGACTTACTCCTCTCTACTTGAGAATGAGTAATCACAGAATATCAGGATAACCGCCAACTAAGCATAACCGCATTCATACTCTACCATTCAATAATCACTCATGAGATATTCCTCCTTGGAATACTCTTTCATTTCCATATTATTCCATTCATATACCATAATACAATCAAATTGAACCAATAGAAACAGATCCCATCTGAAACCAAAACTGAACAATAACATCCACCCTAATGACAAGACCAAACGTTTTGAATACTTTCTAAACTAACACAGCTAGACACTCAGTGTAAGATCGAGCGGTCTTCCACTTATACACAGAACAAGACCGAACGGTCCATTCTAGATAAGACTCCTCATAAGTCGAACACTTTCATCATAAGCCGAACACTTTCATCATAAGCCGAGCACTCGTGGTAATATTTGGACGTTTACTGGTTACTCAACAGTTACTACAGAAAGTTATTTTACTAGACAGAACTTCTAAGAATGTACCGAATATTAAAGAATACATATATTTTAGACTTAACTGAAAATCATAATAACTATTGATGAAACCTAAGAACTTAAACCGAACCCTACAAGCTTAATCCGAACACTATTGACTTGGACCGAACACTCTTAGTTCAAATATAGCACACAATGGAGTATAATATAAATACCGAGCGCTTGGTTAAAGAGCAACCACTATTGAGATTGAGCGCTTGGTTCAAGACCAACCACTACTGGGACCGAGCACTTGGTTCAAAACCGAGCGCTTGATTCAAAACCGAGCACTAGTGGGACCGAGTGCTTGGTTCAAAATCGAGCACTACTGGGACCGAGCGCTACTGAACTTATATTAAAAATGAAGGGGAATGTATATACAATTACACAACACATATTTTCAATGAAGGATAAAGATAATATCTACGACTTTAAGTATTATAGAATACATTAATTAAACTGATTAGGGAACATAAAGGGAAACTATACTTAGACCGAACGCTTACTTACAAGTATACTAAGAGAAAATCGATCGGTTATTAACTGAAATTCTCCATAGAAGAATAATCCAGTCCAGACCGAATACCCAAGGATAAACCGAACAGTCAATAATGACTCTCGGTTATAACAAAATTACGCAATATACTGCAGACTTAAAATCAAAACCCTATATCTAGAAAGGAGGAGGAGAAAATGGAGTTCAGCAGTTTGGAGAAGAAGGGTGCATGCAGAAAGTTGGACCGAATTTCAAAATTTCGGCTTATATACCTCTTGCACAAATCGATCGGTCCACTCTCCTACAGCCACCTACCTGTCTTCCACTTTCTGAAATTCTGAACCCTTTCATTGACACTTGTACTCCACTAACTACTGAATTTAAGGTCCTGACAACATGCATAAACATTAATCAATGTGAGATTTATGTGAATATCCACTTGAGAATCAATATTGTTGAAAATTCTACTAAAAATAAGGTCAATTTATAGTATGTAAGTGAGTGCAAACCTACCTTACTGATTTTGTAAAATTGAATTAGATTTAAAATGCACTTTTTAACCTCTTTATATATTAAGACTAACTTTCTTCAAAAATAAATTTAAAATACACTTAACATTTCTTCAAAAATAACTAATTCTAACCATCATATAAAAATACTAGTCTCTTAAGAATCACAACTCCCATATAACTATTAGAAAAAAAAATTATTATTCAGCATTAGACCTTGTAAACTCTCAATAAAATACAACACAATCCAATCAATTCTTATTTTTTTAATAGTTTTCTTAGTCTCTATCAGATTTTGAAGAATAACCAATTAAGAACCAACACGTTTATCTTTAATCGTTAACTTTTTAAAAAAATGAATAATATATAAAATAAATATCTAAAGCATCTCTAAAATTAGCTATATCAATTAAAATATATTTTGATGTTATTTCTGAATTGGGATAAATATTGAACAGAATTTTATGATTGAATTGAATGCATGAATTTGTTTGGAATTGGAATTTAGGGCAAGTTGCGCACGTGATGACACTACATATACTTCCCCCCAAACATAGAAACCAGGTACACATAACCTTAATTATTAAAATATCTGTCTCATATCTTCAACTTGTATGCATATTATATATATATAACCTCAAGCACCTATATTCCTTCACATCGACTCTCTGTCTCTCTAAGTGTTGACCAATGGCTCAAGCCAGTTTCACAGAAGAGATGTATCTTTGTCTTGCTATTTCTGTATTGCTGGGTTTGTATATGTTTCTGCTCGCCTTGGATTCTCCATTCACCAACAAAGGACTTTCTTTGAAGCTGCAAGATTGCAGCTTCCCGATTCTCGCAGAAACTATGTATAACTCAGAAGAGGGGATGGATCCTGGAAGGACATTGCGGAAGCCATAGATTTCTTCAGTTCTCGATATTCTGCTATTTTTGTTTACTTCTTTTCTGTTATCTGCGAGATGAGTGTCAATATCTCCATTTGCTTACCGTTTATTCAATTGTAAATATATAATTTACACAAGTGTAACTAAATTGCATCTTTTTTTTTTAATTTGAGGATTAACTCGAGAGTTTATGTTTAGTTTCTTAAATTCTACGGTGATGGTATAAGCAGAATACATGTTTTGAACTTCTGCTTTTGTCGGTGAGGGAATTGAAGATCATCGCATTCTTTTTGACTGAGAGATTATTAATTGAATACTTAATGCTAATTACGTAATTAAAGGGACTAAAGCGGCGTCAACGGAGAAAACTAAATATTGACACTGAAAACAGATGTAATATCTGTTATTATATTATATAAAATTTGAGCAGATTAAAAGGATGGATTTTTTTTAAAAATAAAATATTTATAGAATCCTCATTTAGTCATTGGTATGTCGAAGTCTTGCTCCTCCAAGTCAACGACAACTTCCTCTTGCTTCCTTCTTATTGTGGAATCTTTCATTATGCTTTATCTTGCTGTCGTTCTGTCAGAGGATTTGCGTCGATTTGGTTAAGCAACATAATAACATTATCTTTATCTTTATCACTACAGGTATCATTACTTCTGGAGAGAGAAAAATTGAATCATAATAATAATTTGGCAAAATTTATATCATTTTTAGAAAAAAAAAAGGCAGCTCTATAACTAGTATAATTAATCCATATATTATGTTTATCTTCATTTATATTTAATTATTTTAACACGTAAATTTAAATGATATTGTTTACTAGAATATTAAAATTATATACTAATTATTTAAATATTTTTTTAACATTGTAATTTTTACAATATAAAAATGTGGGTTTATAAATAAAATATTCCTTTATAATCTAGCTAAAACTATATTTTTATGATTTCTGTAGGTTGAAAGAATATAAATTTACGCAACTTAAAAATTATCATATAAGTATAACAATAATTATCATATATTTATATTCATTGTTATTTTATCTTCTACTATCATATCACATTATTTAAACAAGATGAGATAAATAGAAGAGCTACAGATGGTTATGTTAAAAATACAAATTACGAGACATATGTGATACCTTAAAAAAATATCACTCTAGCAGTGGGAGTTCAATGTCGGCTTTAGATTCACACGATACATATCGAGAAAGACCAAGCCAAATTCTCAATCCAGTGAAAGTTCAGAGGTGCTATAAATCTGCGTAATACTTGTGTATTTCCTGTCAAATGGTCCCTTATTCGTGGAATTCAAGAAAGAACAAGTGGGGCTTATACATAACTTAAGGTAAAATTAAAGAAGCTGCAGAGAGATTCAGAAGAAATCAGAGGACACAAACAAGCACATTTGTGTTCATCTCCAGTATGTTCTGTGTATGATATTCAGTTACAGAAGCCTGTTGCATAAACCCAACACTGAAAGTTTAAGATAAAACATTATATACATTAAATTGTGGTGTATCCAATAGGATAGGCGTGCGAGGAGGATAACCTTTCTTACGCGACTTAACCCCCTTTCACATTAAAACAGCCTTACAAAAAGGGAGCCAGTATATGATATAACAGGAAGTAAAGACTCCATTTCAGCTTTCGGTGCATTGGCCTGAGGCAGAAAACATTTTTTTCTAATGGAGGATCCAAGTCATCGCCGCTGTTGATTGCACATCTGGCATGTGGTGGCAGACCTAACATTTGCATAGGTACAATGTTCACAAGACCAATGATTATCATCAGTCATTCTGCTGGATATGCTAGTTCGGATAGTTGTTTTTCCTCTTCCTCCTCTCCCTTTGCTGCTCCCTGCTGCATTTTTGGAGCTCGTTGCTTTGCTCGAAGCAGCCCCATTACTATCCACATCAGATAAACCATTCTCCAATGCCCTCACCAAATTCTCGAAGTAGTTTCTAGTCACACTGCCAAAACAAAATGAATTAGAAAACATATATAACTATATTCATACTGGAACATGAGCATCTATTCAGACAAGGACATCTACCTGGTCAATCCAGCTAGTTTGGTGCGGAAGTCATTGAATTCTCTGGATGGCCCATCGGCATTTAGGAATAGCTGTAATTCCTTTTCAGCACATTGATGAAGTCTCTCCAAACCAGATTCTGCCTCACCTGGTGGGAATAAAAACATCGTTTGTAGGAGAACCACCACAAATGCAGGACATTTCAATGAAAGTTAAAGTTGACTAACAAAACCTTGTAAGTACTCAAAGAACTGCTTTTTAGCATGTTCATGCTCCGGTAAATAGTACCCATATGCATATGTCCACTTCAGCACCCTCCTGCATTCAACAATCTGCCAACATGAAATTCAAATTAGAAAGCCTTCCAGTTTACAACATTTGAAAACAATCTCATCATAGGACTACCTTCAGAAAACAGTTCAATTAATAGTGAATTATTAGTCCTAAAACTTGTTTGAAAGAACTTTTGCATGAGCACTTCTAGGAGAAAAAATAAAGAAAAATTAAAATTAAATAATGCATAAGTAAATTTGCAGAAGTTTTGCTCATATAAGTTCTCTTAAGTTTGTACTTTTGAATTGTTCATAAACTAATTTTTGCTTCCTATTTTTCTCTCCCATAAATGTTTATAAAGAAGATCGTCCAAACAAGTTCCTAATAAAAAACTACTATGCAGTCCAAAACAATCGAAAGTTTCGTAAAACAATCAACAAATTTAACAATTCATTATACCAAGTTCAAAACTATTAATATTCATTTACCTGTAACCAGGCCTCCGTTATGAACTTAAGCTGTGATTCAGGCTGGCATTGTGTGTCACTAAGCTTTTCAATCTGCGAAAGGAAAAAAAAAAGACAAATAGTACACAATTTTAGAGTTCCTGAAAAGCAAGATATTAAGCCCTAATTATAAGTAAGAAAAATGCCAAAGCGATACAGCAAAAGGTATATTTGTCTTCTTTTTTTGTTCGAGAGTTTATATTCACAGACTCCTGACAGTGAAATAATTAAAAGGCTAAGAAAGAAGAAAAAAATAAAATAAAAATTGCAGCCATGAGGAATGCGGCAAAAACTAAGACCTTGGCTAGTTATTTTCAGTTTGTTGATTTCAACGTTGAATTGTTTTTTATTGTACAATGAAAGGATGAATAACTTAATATTTTTACTGTATCAACTTGAGGGACTACACATATTTTTCCCTTTGCAATTTCACTTTCCATTATTCCTAAACTTTTCAAAGCACTCTTAAAAAGTCAGCTTTCCCAGCACAAAAAATTNTTTTTTAACATTGTAATTTTTACAATATAAAAATGTGGGTTTATAAATAAAATATTCCTTTATAATCTAGCTAAAACTATATTTTTATGATTTCTGTAGGTTGAAAGAATATAAATTTACGCAACTTAAAAATTATCATATAAGTATAACAATAATTATCATATATTTATATTCATTGTTATTTTATCTTCTACTATCATATCACATTATTTAAACAAGATGAGATAAATAGAAGAGCTACAGATGGTTATGTTAAAAATACAAATTACGAGACATATGTGATACCTTAAAAAAATATCACTCTAGCAGTGGGAGTTCAATGTCGGCTTTAGATTCACACGATACATATCGAGAAAGACCAAGCCAAATTCTCAATCCAGTGAAAGTTCAGAGGTGCTATAAATCTGCGTAATACTTGTGTATTTCCTGTCAAATGGTCCCTTATTCGTGGAATTCAAGAAAGAACAAGTGGGGCTTATACATAACTCAAGGTAAAATTAAAGAAGCTGCAGAGAGATTCAGAAGAAATCAGAGGACACAAACAAGCACATTTGTGTTCATCTCCAGTATGTTCTGTGTATGATATTCAGTTACAGAAGCCTGTTGCATAAACCCAACACTGAAAGTTTAAGATAAAACATTATATACATTAAATTGTGGTGTATCCAATAGGATAGGCGTGCGAGGAGGATAACCTTTCTTACGCGACTTAACCCCCTTTCACATTAAAACAGCCTTACAAAAAGGGAGCCAGTATATGATATAACAGGAAGTAAAGACTCCATTTCAGCTTTCGGTGCATTGGCCTGAGGCAGAAAACATTTCTTTCTAATGGAGGATCCAAGTCATCGCCGCTGTTGATTGCACATCTGGCATGTGGTGGCAGACCTAACATTTGCATAGGTACAATGTTCACAAGACCAATGATTATCATCAGTCATTCTGCTGGATATGCTAGTTCGGATAGTTGTTTTTCCTCTTCCTCCTCTCCCTTTGCTGCTCCCTGCTGCATTTTTGGAGCTCGTTGCTTTGCTCGAAGCAGCCCCATTACTATCCACATCAGATAAACCATTCTCCAATGCCCTCACCAAATTCTCGAAGTAGTTTCTAGTCACACTGCCAAAACAAAATGAATTAGAAAACATATATAACTATATTCATACTGGAACATGAGCATCTATTCAGACAAGGACATCTACCTGGTCAATCCAGCTAGTTTGGTGCGGAAGTCATTGAATTCTCTGGATGGCCCATCGGCATTTAGGAATAGCTGTAATTCCTTTTCAGCACATTGATGAAGTCTCTCCAAACCAGATTCTGCCTCACCTGGTGGGAATAAAAACATCGTTTGTAGGAGAACCACCACAAATGCAGGACATTTCAATGAAAGTTAAAGTTGACTAACAAAACCTTGTAAGTACTCAAAGAACTGCTTTTTAGCATGTTCATGCTCCGGTAAATAGTACCCATATGCATATGTCCACTTCAGCACCCTCCTGCATTCAACAATCTGCCAACATGAAATTCAAATTAGAAAGCCTTCCAGTTTACAACATTTGAAAACAATCTCATCATAGGACTACCTTCAGAAAACAGTTCAATTAATAGTGAATTATTAGTCCTAAAACTTGTTTGAAAGAACTTTTGCATGAGCACTTCTAGGAGAAAAAATAAAGAAAAATTAAAATTAAATAATGCATAAGTAAATTTGCAGAAGTTTTGCTCATATAAGTTCTCTTAAGTTTGTACTTTTGAATTGTTCATAAACTAATTTTTGCTTCCTATTTTTCTCTCCCATAAATGTTTATAAAGAAGATCGTCCAAACAAGTTCCTAATAAAAAACTACTATGCAGTCCAAAACAATCGAAAGTTTCGTAAAACAATCAACAAATTTAACAATTCATTATACCAAGTTCAAAACTATTAATATTCATTTACCTGTAACCAGGCCTCCGTTATGAACTTAAGCTGTGATTCAGGCTGGCATTGTGTGTCACTAAGCTTTTCAATCTGCGAAAGGAAAAAAAAAAGACAAATAGTACACAATTTTAGAGTTCCTGAAAAGCAAGATATTAAGCCCTAATTATAAGTAAGAAAAATGCCAAAGCGATACAGCAAAAGGTATATTTGTCTTCTTTTTTTGTTCGAGAGTTTATATTCACAGACTCCTGACAGTGAAATAATTAAAAGGCTAAGAAAGAAGAAAAAAATAAAATAAAAATTGCAGCCATGAGGAATGCGGCAAAAACTAAGACCTTGGCTAGTTATTTTCAGTTTGTTGATTTCAACGTTGAATTGTTTTTTATTGTACAATGAAAGGATGAATAACTTAATATTTTTACTGTATCAACTTGAGGGACTACACATATTTTTCCCTTTGCAATTTCACTTTCCATTATTCCTAAACTTTTCAAAGCACTCTTAAAAAGTCAGCTTTCCCAGCACAAAAAATTAGATTTCACTTCAGTTGTCAAAGCCCCTTGCAAGCTAATTGGAGGGAAGAAGGTGGGAATAAAATGGAAGAAAACAAAAAAAAAAAAGTATGAGTAACGTACATGAACAGTTTGCATCTGGTGTAGATCTGCAAGAGCCTTTTGCCTTGACTGATAGTTAATGAAAAATAAAATTAGTTATACGTCACTAACCCAACCGAATTCAAGCAAAATAAATATTAAACAGTGGATGTGGGAATTGTAGATAAAACATCATAACCATAATGGACAGAAAAAGTGTCAAGTCGTGCATACAGATTGGTTGCTGGCCCATCGCTCATAATAATGTGTGTACCTCTCCAGCGAATTCTTTGCCATTTCTCTTCTTCTTTCAGTTTCATCATACTACATGTAACAAGATTAAGGTCATAAGCAGATATCATTATCAAAATAGATGCCAGGGGTAGTCAGATAATGCCAGCCTGAAACCTGAATCAAGAAAAGTACAGCATTACAAGGTCCCTTACCACTCCCTCTTGTTTAGCTGCTTCATAACGATTGCAAGCATAAAAACCACCCGTCCTTTCACCATGGTCTGACCACGCACCAAGGCATAGCCTATGCAGATAAAAGAAAATATCAAGATTAGGTAAAATTCACATAAGCTAAAGTTGTTTGGAAATACATAGACATTAGACGTGTTATATATGCAAATATAAAAGCATCATACATACCAATAAACGGAAAAAAAGGAAGTGGAAGCATGCAAAATAATCAGGTGGGAAAATACATACCAGCAGAATTCAAATTTACAAGGTGGAGTACAAGTCATATGCATGCACCCTTGGTTTTTTTCAATTGGTCGCTTGCACTTTGGACATGGCTTTGAGTTAGCAAGTATCCTGAAAAACACTAATTAATAGTTGGTTTGGTGCGTCAAATCTTGACTCTCCAAAAAATGACACTGTAGTAGTGTATAAAATGGACATTGGTTATCATATATCAGATCATTCTTCAATCTCTGAATTTTTAAGTGTGAATCGTAAATTGTAACAGATCATATGATTCAGAGAAGAAATGAAGACTAGCTTGAATTACATTACAAATTTTATGAATAGCTACATGTTATTAACAAAATGTACAACATCTATCTCTCAAAAACAAAATGAGGATTTATGTAGAGAATGAATTGAACAAAAATTAGAAAGCAAAAATTTACAATGATTTGATGTGCAAGTTAGTATCTGAAATTTAAAAAGAAAACATCGACCCCTATTTATACTCTATAACCTAATTAAATCAAATAAGGAAAGAAATCATGAAAGAGCTAGAAAATATGAAAGTCAATCCTAAGATATCACTAAGATGCCATACAATATTGTAAGATATATTGATAAGAATATTTTTCATGTACTTTTAGCTCGTAACTAGTAGGTGGACAAGTAGTCCAAATCTGAACTCTAAAGTTTGTTCCTAGCTCTGTTCTCAGGTACAGTTGAGGACAAATTGGCAGAAATAGATTAATTATATAGGTTTTTTCCTACATATTAATGTGGAAACTGCAAATTATGCATATCTGTCCATTTTTTATTTTTAGTTTAAGTGTCTTTTCGTTTCATCAGATCACATTGAATCATATTGACCCAACTGTGTGGCCCACACAATTTACAAACAACCCACACAGTCAGTCATTACACAACAATTCTGATCTGTATCAAGTAAATCCACTAATTTGTGACACAATTTCAGCTGCCATGTGATTGTCTCCTCAATTTGTATATTTTGCATTGCTAATCGTATTGAACCATTAAATAGAAATCATGAATAGCTAGGTTTCTACACTATGAACTTCACTGCTCGGAGCAATGCAATACATCAATATTCCATGGATTAAGAACTGATTCAGTACAGTTGCAAATAGAAAAAATAAAAACACAAAATACACAGTTTTGTGCGGTTCTTTTTTTTTAATTCTTTACACTCCTCCAGCTATCATTTAACCAAATTCAAGTATAAAAATCAAATATTCACAAGGGATCACCAGTTTCTCCCTTTAAAGTGGGATTAAAACAAACAAAAAAGAAAAACAAAGTCTACTAATGATATTAAAAATCAGAAAAAAATTAAAAAGAGATGTAGTGGTGATGGGTGGGCTAAACGGCATCCTAACCTCTTTGGAGAGAGGAGAGGCAACTCAGAGAAGATGACAGTGCCAGAGAAGAGCAACAAAACAGTGGTTGGAGACATTATCGTGATGCCAAACGTTGTGCAAAGCAAAGGTGACTCAACAACAATTGGAAAAACAATAGAAAATAGACACGAACATCACCAAAGAAAAAAAGACTTGAAGTGGTGATCACCAGAGACGAAGTATGAAATCTAATTGATCACGTGGAAGTACATTTTCTGTTTGGAGAAGCTAGGAGGACCCAATCTTATCATTACTAAGTGTTTTCAAAACACATAATTGATTTTGTTTTCTAAACACAACAACATTTTTCGGACTTAGTGACTCAGACTCGCGAGTCCACCAAGAGTGAACCAAGTTTGGTCAAGTCTACTCCGAGTCCATCAAGAAACAAGTTTTGAGATCAGTTAATTCATAGCAAGAGCTACTCGTAGATTCGTAGAAGTTTGTGAGTTGACCTGTGGGTTTGATAATCTTGCTTTAAACAAGTTTTGAGTGAATCAAATTTAATCAAGTCTACTCCGAGTCCACCGAGAAACAAGTTTTGAGATTAGTCATTTCATAGACAGTGTCACAGTGAGCATAGTCAAAAGTTCGTACAAGTTTGTGACTTGACCTGTGGGTTTGATAACCTTGCTTTAAACCCACCCACAGGCCACAACACACTCAAGAAAAAATAATCTCACCCTTCCATTATTACTCCTCAGTTCCTTTATCCTATTTTTATAATTGAATGTGCTTAATTTCAAAACAATAAATATAGAAATATATTTTTATATAATATAATTAAACACCAGGAGTATTTTTTTATATTATAAAAGTGTTGTATAATGCTGCTCCCCTTTGGTGTTCTGTGATGTGTTCATTATGGGGAAACTGCCTATGCTAGATGACACTCACGTTCCCTCTAGTATTAAAATAGGCATCCCCCTTTCTTATGTTGGTAATAAAAGGGCATTTATATCCCCTCTATAATAGACATTTACCCCCTTATAGTTTTGATAAAGGATACTCAACTCCCTTATTGTATTTGAAAATACCATACTGACTAAAATATAGCAATTAAAGTTTCTTTTATAAACAAAGAAAACATATGGAATGTAAATGTGATTTATTAAAATCATAAAGGAGGTGAATGCTTATTTAAAAATTATAGAGGGTGTGAGTGTCATTTCATTAGAAACACAAGAGAGGTAAGTGTCTATTTTAAAACTAGGGAGGATGCAAGTGTCATTTAGTATAACCTTAAGGGAGGAAAGTACAAAATACCCTTTAATTAATATTGTGTTATCAACTCCTATGCACACCCAGATGCAAAGATTTTCAATAGAACAAAATGATTGTAATGAGCATTAGTCTTCACATAAATGAGTTTAATGAATACTGTTTAATATATTAACTAAATTAAAATACTATACAGATACCAATTCGAACAAGGTTGAACCCTTGAACCTTGAACCAGTTTGATAATTGGTTCAATAACCAAATTTAAAAATTAAAAATACGCATTAATAACAAGGCATTGCTAACTATACATTTATAACTCGTTGACCTTGACATAAATGAGGCATCAAATACTATAATTTTTATTGGCAACTACAAAAAGGGACAATCAGTACGGAACAGCAAGAAACTAACATCTACATATTTCAAAATATATTATGTACCAGTTCATGTTCTCGGATTCTGCACTATTTTTCAAAATCCACTTTGACACAGTGCCACAGTCCACTGGACGGTGAGCCTCCTCTGTGCACTGTAGATCCAACACACCAATTAGTGGAATATGAAAATTCTAAAATGTAAGGCTATAAAAATCTAAAACAGATTCTAAACAACTTACATTCCAGCAAAAGCTATATGAACAGAGGCAAGATACATCATAATTTCCACTTCCAGCATCAAAAGTAACTGCATACTCACAACCTGGAGCAGGACACCACTTGGTCTACAAAAAACACAGAGCAGGATTAGACGATGAGAGTAGGATGTCAAAAAGTGTAGAACATCAATGATCATAAAAAACAAGCATGATTTAAATAAGAAAGGTAGGGAAACATTACATATTAACTAATGGACCATTTATCACAAAATGTAGAAATTTATAGTCATTTGTAGCCACACTACCACTTAAATCAACATGTGAAGAATTATGAATGCATAATTTGGACATAAATTGTAAACAAATCAATATAAGATTGCAGTTGGCAGAACAAAATGCATAAATTTTTTTTAATATTGTCACTAAAGCCCAGATTAAAAATCTACAACATACCTTCTTGTTGTCTTCAATATAGGACCTCAGAAGGTAACGGTCATACTTCTCTTTATCTTCAAAAGATGCTAAAAGATTAATCATATCTTGACCAACAGCAGCACCACAAGTGGGATCAGGACATCTCAGCACCAAACATCCCGGACCATCATTAATTGATGTGCCAATATATCCTAGCATGTAAAAAGGAATAGAAGAACGTGGTTTAACAAAATTTTAAAAAATAAAGAAAGAATATTGATGATACATGTATTCTCACTAGTCATACAAAAAAATACACAACAGAGCAAGGCATGATTTAATAACAATGTCAAGACAGACAGGTATCCGTGACAAGCAAAGAACAGAAGGATGGCACACAGCTAACCTGCCCAGCACAAATGGCAGTAAGGATGACCACAAGCAGCAGATTTAACTCGTGAACGAGGATACATCTCAAAACAGATGCCACAAGTAAGCTGACCACAAGAACGGATAAATGTGAGATAATTCATGCAGTGAAGATTAAATGAAACCCAGGCAGCATATAACAAGAAAATTCAAAATTAGTCGACCTGTTTTAAACCCCAAACAACCACCACGCCTCACCTCTCTAGCATTAGAATTTTGGAAAACTGGCTTATCCAACAAACCAACTGTCTTTCGAACTTGTTCTTCATCAGCAAACCAGGCATCATGCACCTTACTAACACTCCTGCATCACCAATTCACTCTCCTTC